TTAAGCTCCCACAAACAAATTAAGAATGAGGCCTGAAAGAATTGAAAGTTCAGTGTACTGTAAACCAGGGGAATATAGAACTCAGGAGATGATGCATAAGAAGTCCCTGCCACACTGCAATGAGAGAAAGTTGACTCAGATTCTGTGAAGTGTGGAAACAGAAGGAGGAGACTGAAGTGCGCAGGGAGGCACCTTCATGACATTTTGACCTTTTGTGAGCTGAAATCCTAGGTGGGAAGGTAAGCATTAGGCAGGCTGAGTAGAATGCCTGAAGCAGAAATGCTTCCACCCTACTTTCTGACTGGGCGTCTGCTGGCAGAATGTTCCCCTCATCCACACGGAAAGGGCTTCTTCCAAATGAAAACCAGTTACACATTGTGGCCAGTCAGAATCTGAGGTAGCACTGAGCCGTCACTGGCTCTCCTGTGGGAAAGGAGCAATACTGAACTTCCCACATGCCTTTTGGGGACGCCAAAGTTACCTCAGCGGAGAGCCAGTAGAGTTACCCAGCGGGCGTTATAGTCAAAGATAACTTACTAGTCACATGTGATCAGACGTTCAGCTGTATCTGACTCTTTGCAACCCCATGGACTTTAGTCCACCAGGCTCCTCTGTTCATGAGATTTTTCAGGCAAGAATACTGCAGTGGGTTGCCATTTTCTTCTCTAGGGGATCTTCCTGACCCAGGGATTGAACCCGTGGCCTCTGTGTTGGCAGGTGGATTCATTACCACTGAACCACCTGGGAAGCCTTAGTCAGAGATAAGAGGACCCTAACTCAGAGGGCCAACTGTTTAGACCACGTTTGGATGGAAGATGTGGCTGTACTCAGAAGTGGTTGCAGCCCTCCCATGAGCTGGGGTAGAATTTAATCAACTCTGAAGGATTCCTGAGCCTTGTTGGAGCAAGAAGACGGGTCAGGCGTTTACCAACCGCACTCTGAAGCAGCGCTCTATTATAACCACTGGAGAAACTGCGCATGCCTGCCTGCTCAGCCGCTCAGCAGTCGTGTCCGACTCTGTGCGACCCCATGGACTGTAGCCCCCAGGCCCCTCTGTCCACGGGCTTCCCCAGGCAAGAAGACTGGAGTGGGTTGCCATGCCCTCCTCCAGGGGATCTTCCCGACCCAGAGATCGAACCTGCATCTCCTGCATTGCAGGCAGATTTTTTAACCCACTGAGCCACTTGGGAAGCCCCCCTGGAACAACTACCAAGAAAATAACTTTAGAAAAGCCAGAGTTCAACAGAAGAATTACCATGATATAATAAAGCACATTTAAAACAGAAGTTTAAAGAAGTGAAGAAGAAACAGACAAAAAACGATACAGGGCATAGAGAAAACAAGTAGCAGAGCGGCAGGCGTGAATTCAGATGATTTGGCAACCCCAGGTTTTGTTCAAAATGAGGTACAAAAGAGACAGTGGGGTGGGGGACAGGGGTAGCAGAGACAGCAGACAACCGGAAAGTGAAGACTGTACTGCCGTTCCCTTTAGGTGGGGTCTGCACTGGCCATTTTCCCACAGCTTCTATGACTTAATTGCATTCACTTTCAGATTTTGTTACCTGACTGACGAGGTGTTTTTCCTCCATCCCAGAGGAGTCAGTATCTCTTCCTGATAACCTGGGTTCTCCCTTCATAGATGCAAATCCAAATATCCAGTGGAGGCTCTCAAATCTTCCCAGAAATTATGCTTAGATTATATTTAAATCATTTGTACTTAAGTCGTATTTAAATATTTTAACCATGCATAATTTATGTAAAAATTAAAGCATTTAATTCTCTTACAGGGGTAGGGATTGGGTGATTTACATATGGAAAGGATCCATTTAAATTTTTGTGTAAAGTTAGAGAAATGTAAAAAATTTTATTGACATTTAGAGATAGTGTAATTTTATGTATTATTTGTAGCTCCAGTTTATAAATGAGGAAACCAAGGCACAGAGAGTTCTTATACTCTGTACAAGGTCATGTTGTCATCCAAGCTTCTTCCAGGGGGAATATTTTCAGGTTTACAAAAAAAGGAAGAGAAACCAGGATGTCATACAAAGCTTTAAAAATGAATTAATGTCATGGAAAAAATTTTTTTCTACATCTCATAAAGATGAAAGAGACTTGTGGTTTTTTTTTTCATTTTCGACTGGCCTAGATGTCTTCCGTGTTTCACTGGGGAACTGGAGGGATTTCAGCTGGAGAAGCTTTGGAGCAGCTGCTAAAATAATTACTCTATTGTATATTTCATTTTTAAAAAACTGAGAAAAGTTGTTTCTCAACTTCGAGAAGCCTTAGTTCCAAACACAGCAAGTTGGTTGCGCTTGGTGTTCTGGTGTTCTGGTCCCAGAGTTCCAGGCACCCAGGGGAGTGTTCACATATTTTTGTACAATACAACCTAAGGAATCATCAGATCTTACCCTCTCATCTTTACTGCCATCCTAGACTAGAATCCTCAGTCATTCAAGGCAGAATGGTTTAGGACTACGGACGACACATTGATTGCCCACCTTTGCCCACCATTGATTTCTCCACTAACTGGAGAAGTTTTGTTACATCTTTATGTCTCTTGACCTTATTGTACTTCAGGCGTGTGGAGTGTTCACATATTTTTGTATAGTACAACCTGAGGAATCACCACATCTTACCCTCTCATCCTTACTGCCATCCTAGATTACAATCTTCATTCGAGGCAGAACAGTTTAGGACTAAGGATGACATATTGCTTGTTCACTCTTACACTAACTGGAGACGTTCTGTTGCAGTTTTATGTCTCTTGACCTTATTGCACTTTGGTGTGTGAGGCTATCCCTCAGATCATGTTGAATATAAATAAGATGGAGGCTAGACTTGCCTATTTCTCAGTTTGTGGCTAAACAACACGAGTGGCCTGCTCAATCCAGTTTTATTCTGATTTTAGAGCTTCAATTGGATTTTTTATAGTTACCCATAAAAGTCCCAGTTAGCATGAGGTGAGGCCTGAGCATAAGGCAAAGGCCACATCCTGGTGGCCTGTGTGCCAGGCCCACCCTGCAGATGTGTTACGTTTTGTTTGGCCTTGAAAGCGGCTTAAAGAAATTGTTTTTTGAATTTCATAGACAAAATTTTGCAATCTGGAGAATTCACATAAACATCTAAATTTCCTGTTTCTCCTGAAAAATCTGACTATCTGGCCACAGTGGGCACACCAGCCTGCTGAATAAATGCCACCACCTTTGACAGGGCACAAACTCACATCCACTCTCTGCCTCACTCTTTTTTGTTTCTGCTGGTTCTGGATGTTTGAGTCCATGACCATGCAGTCCCCTCCACCAATGGGCCGAGTCTCTAAAATGATTTGTTGACTTGGGATGCAGACAATACACCTACTTCATTTGCTGTCCCGAGTTCAAAGCCATTAGGAATGTTTCTGTTGTGGTGCTTTTAGAAGATCTGACACTCATTTGACCAGTCTCCATGGCGTAAATCTTTGTCCTTGAATCTGACTTTTGGGAACACTCAAAGGAAAATTTAGAGCCAAGTTTGGGGCGAAAAATGTGTGTGACCATGTAATAGTGAAACCTGTTTCTCTTGGGTGGTTTGGTTTGTAAGCTGACTCAAAGGTAATTAAGGGGAAAAAAGGGCTCAATCATGCTCTGAGGCCTTTACTTCTTCCAGATGTCCATTACCCTTTCCACTGAGCTGTCATAATATCCTGTGTGTGTTTCTACTACGCATCTATGATTAGGGCTTTAGTTTTTTTGTTTACTGCCCTCTCTCATCTTTGATCAGACTGGGAGCCACTTGGGAAAGATACACTTTTGTTCATCTTTGATCTTGTTGGAGGCCATCAGCACTGTTGAAAGCCAAGAGACTGAACTGAAGGATTCATTATTGAATGAGTGAATGAATCAAAGGACCTAAATGGAAAGCGTCCCAAGATAATTATTTTAAAGGGGACAACAAACACTTTATATCGTAGGCATCCATTCTTATTAAAAAATTTATTTGTATATATTCCTGAAATCAAAATGAGTTGAAAAATTAATTGATATTGGATTGTATAACTTTCCTTGTTCACTAACGTCAGCTCCGGTATTGAAAGTCACTCGTGACTGCACACGTGTGGTTTTCCTAACTGATGAGCAAGGAAGTATAAAAGCTGTAGAATCAAGGTGAATAAAAATCCACCAAGAATTACAGCCTACAGCTCGTGTCCTAGTTTGAAACAAAGTATCAAAGTATTTCAGATGTTAAATTTTTTGGTAGCAGCAGCAACCTCAGGATAGCGCAGCACCGACACTTCGAAGCTTTCGATGTAGAAAGTCACTAATAAATATTTCACAAGAGCAGCAGCCCCACCCCCAACACCGAAAATCGCAGAAAATTAAACCTCATATATGTTGTTGCATTTGTAAAATCAGGTGTTTTAAGGTTGGATAGTCCCGAGCAGCGTGAAGTATTCAGGGAATTCTTGTCTGTTTCTACGTAGGAGAAAAAGAAGGGTCGCTTCCCACCCCCGCGCTGTGCCCTATAGCCTCTCTGCTTGTCCATCCCGAAACAGAGAGGTCCATCCCGACTCCACTCTCCCGCCTTTGAGAAGCCGCACAGGCGGGCCGCATCCTCCCTGTCCACCCGCTCTATTTTGGGGCCCCATGATCTCATGCCCTCTGCAGACCACACGCTGCAGTTCCAGACCAGCCCGCGCCGCGAGGCCACGCAGGGCGATTCCTGCAAGTGTTCGGACGGTGCCCGAGGCGCGAGGTAGGCAAGGCTTGGAGGGGGAGGTTAAAGACACGCCCACGTGAAGGACCCAAAATAACCGACACGCTGAGTGCCCGAAATCAGACAGGAAGCCAAATAATCCGGGGCGTTGAGTTGCTTTCCCCTCACTCGCAGCGCCGGGCGGCGGGCGCCCAGCCAAGGGTCTGGCGGCGAGGGGCGGGCGCGGCGGCGGGCGGGACGGGGCGGGGCCGGCGCGGAGCCTATTAAAGGCGCGGCGGGGCGGCGGGGCCCGAGCGCCCGGGGCCACGATGGAGCGGGACGGCTGCGCGGGGGGCGGGAGCCGCGGCGGCGAGGGCGGACGCGGCCCCCGGGAGGGCCTGGCGGGGAACGGCCGCGACCCGGGCTCGGGCCGCGCCGCCGAAGCGTCCGGAGAGCCGCAGGCGGCCGCGTCGCTGCTGGCCCCCATGGACCTGGGGGAGGAGCCGCTGGAGAAGGCGGCGCGCACCCGGCCGGCCAAGGACCCCAACACCTATAAAGTGCTCTCGCTGGTAGGTCCCCGTGGCCCAGCGCGCGGGAGGGCGGGGAGGGCGGCGCCCGCTCCTGCGCTGCGAGCGTGCGGTCAGCACCCGGGGCCCGGAGAGAGACAGCTGCGTGCCGCTCTTCGTCGCCTTTGACTCTCCTCTGCGGGTTTTTATCCGTGCTCATCACCACCGAGCCTTCTCTTCCTCTCGGGGAAATAGCTCACTGTCGCTGGTATTACTGATGCTTCGAAGGAACCTGTTTATGAAACTAGGCTGTTAAAAGTCGTGATCTTTAGAAATCCCACCGCTTTCCCCCAGAGAGTACAAGGTCGTTCGTGGGGAAAAATGACCAACCTGAAAGTTGTCGGTTTTAGGATGATCAACAAGGTTTTTCTTATTTTTTTTTTAATTTAAAATTTTAATGTAATTTTTTACCTCTTTGGGGATATCCTTTCTTTGTATTAACCGATTCCACTTGAAAGATGTAATAGAATTCTTTAAGTTGTATCAGGAACTTTAGAAATTACTTTTTCTATTGGCTCTGCATAGGCATTTCCTTGCAGCTATTCAGAAACTCCGTCAATATTCATGTTACGTGAATGTGAAGAAGTGTTTATGATTCGTCGTCCATTCTTCCAAAAGTACCCACTCGTCCTCTGCCATTTCCTTGGTACACTTGCAGGATCCACAATCAATTTCAGGAAATGTGGGGGTGGTTTTCCCTTCCACTTCTATGGCAGGAAGTACTGGACCCAGAATCCTGGGTTCTTGCTTTCATGGCCTTTATTAATTGCTGGGGCCTCCTATAACTTTCCCCAAACCTCAGTTTCTTCAATGTTAAAATGAGGACATCATCTCCGTGTGCATCACATAGGGTTATTGTGAGGGTCTGGTGGAATAATGTATGTGGGGAAGTAAATTTGAAAACCACAAGGAGATGTAATCATTTTATTGTATTATGTGGAAGTGACATTTCCATGTAAAGTGCACCTTAAACTATATTGTCACTTAAGGTTTTATGATTGGACAATGCAGTGTGGAGGACATCTTTTCTGATATTTGAAATCTTTCCTTTCATAAACTTTCCTTTTTCACTGTGTTTTGGATGTCATGGAAATGATACAGTGCTTTGAGGAACCAACTTTCCTAAAGAGATGGTGTCATATAATTAGTACTTAAAAATAAGCCTAAGATTCAAAGAGTAAGTGTCCCAAACCACATAAATGTTTGTATCTCAAGATATATTTTGCATCATATCTCACTGTTTAAGAACACCTGATACTTAGGAGAACTTAGTCTTTTGAGTCACCATTTTTGTTTTTGTCAGAGGGAAACCTTAGCTTTTGCAATAGTGTTACTTAATATTTTTCAGTTTGGCTCAGGCATTCAATAATTGTACATTGAATCTGTATGTAACTCCCATGTGAAATCACTTCTACCTGCAGTCTTAAAAGTTTGCTAAATTTGCCAGTTGCTAAATTCAGTTTTAAAATCTTTCCTATTCATTTACGTATAAATCCACAGTAGGTATCAGCAGAGATCTACCTTTGGAGCGTGAATTTCAGTCTTTGACACCTGCCATCAGCTGGTCAAACAGTATTTCGTTTTACTCTGTTGATAGAACTCTGGGCTTTGACATGGAAATTTCTTTAATATTGCTACAAGTAGGACAATCATGAGAATGTTTAACACCATTAGGTGGGGTCTTTTGCTGTGACACATGTTGAATTGAAAAGAATTCTTACTTCATGTCTTTTGAGGAAATACAGTGGGCCATTAATATATATGCAAACTCTCTGCTGTGTCTTTGAAACTCTTAATTAATGGTTTCAGGTGAAAATGAAACCCCAGTGACTCAGGGTAAAGAATCCCCCTGCCAGTGCAGGAGACGGGTGTTTGATTGCTGGGTCGGGAAGATCCCCTGGAGGAGGGCATATGGCAACCCACTCCAGTATTCTTGCCTGGGAAATCCCACAGACAGAAGAGCCTGGACGGCTACAGTTCTTAGAGTCGCAAAGAGTCAGACACGACTGAAGTGACTTGGCAGACACGCATGCATGCATCCATTCTTTCCCTTCCCTACTTCTGCATCCTTCGTCCTCTAGACTTTCCCAAGTGATGCACTTCTAATGGGAAAAGTCTCCAAAAGGAGCTTGACGGGTTGTCACCCAAGAGCTCTGGGGCATGTCTTCTAGAGAGAAGCTGCAATTACAGCAAGTGGAACATCTGCATTGTTTTCATAAAGCTGAAGAAATAGGTTGACTAATTGCATCTGAAGTTGGGATTACGAGAGCCCAACCACTGAGGGTGTCTTTGGTTTTCATCTAGCAGGATTAACACAAGAGTTACCTTCTGGAGAGAGAAGCAGGGGCCACGGAACTGTCTCATTTTTTCTGAAAGTGCTTCAGATACACTTGAATGCTGAAGGGAAGGGAGAGTGGACGCAGAAGGCACAGTCCTGCCCTGGCTTCTCCACATATGACCCCTAAGCAGACCACAGGCTCTGCTCTGGAGACGTTGGCCCTGGTCTGTGGATGTACTCATGCCTAGGCACTGAGCCAGGCCGGGGGAAACTCTAGGAGGTCAAATAAATATATGCTTCAGTAGATACGTTAGATCGGAATGCTTTTCCAGGTTCCACATTAAGTTCTGAACTGAAATGTCCGCTTCCACTAAGGTTGTTCCTGGACATTAATTTGAAATAGCTTTCCTGTTCCCTGGCAGGGTTTTCAACCACATTGCAAACACTTTTCCATTCTTCATTTCGCTCTTCCACAGCATCATGCTGTGTTTGTGACCTCTTGCTGTCCTTATGAATACATATACCTGTGTGTGCCCGTAGGTGGCCTTGTGTGTGGGTGGTGGTGAGTGAAGACAACTTTCACCTTTTGATGAAAGAGTTCTTTGTAAGTGGCAGAAGTTGCCCTTGTTGATCAGAAATTTTAGTGTGAAAGTTATTAATTCTGTTAGCTTCTCTCTCCCTTCTTGTAACACATCATCTTATTTCCAGACTACCACCTGGAGAATACTCAAGATAGAGCTCTGCTGTTAATCCAACTTGAAATTGACATTGCTTCTTGGTTTGTAAAATTTTATATCTGCCCAGCCATAGCTGAGCATTTTATTTCAAAAATGACCAGCACATCTTAGGGTCTCGAAATGTGTCCTGTTTTCCCTTTATGGTATTTTTTTTCACATGTTCTAATAAAATGTACTCAAGGTTTCTAGGAACTCAGCAAGACTGTTGTGTTTACTGCTGGGCCTACGGTACCTCACTGTCAGTGTCAGCTTTTGGTTGAATGAATGCAGTACGTTTTTACTTAGACTGAGTAACACTTTGACTTGGAAGAGGGTAAGCTAGGAAGACTGAATACACAACTATGTACTCATATAGTTGATTGAAAGTCAGGAATCCAAATATAAATGCACTGATTGGGTTTCTCTGGTGGCTCAGAAGGTGAACAGTCTGCCTGCAATATAGGAGACCTGGGTTTGATCTCTGGGTTGGAAACATCCCCTGGAGAAGGAAATAACTACCCACTCCAGTATTCTTGCCTAGAGAATCTCATGGACAGAGGAGCCTGGCGGGCTGCAGTCTGTGGGGTTACAAAGAGTCGGACACGACTGAGTGACTGCTGCTGCTAAGTCGCTTCAGTCGTGTCCAATTCTGTGCGACCCCATAGATGGCAGCCCACCAGGCTCCTCCGTCCATGGGATTTTCCAGGCAAGAGCACTGGAGTGGGGTGCCATTGCCTTCTCCAGACTGAGTGACTAAGCACGCAATAGAGATGACACTTGTGTCAATTCAGGGATAGGATCAAAATGGGAATGTCATGTATTTAGCGCATAGCGAGATAAAAGAGGCAGTGAATGAACGACAAACAAAAGTTCCCAACTAAGGTTAGCATACCTAAGAGGCCAGAGGGCCTTCATGATAACTTGGATTCAGAATCAAGATCTAGCCACTGGCCATGCTGTTAGAAAGAAACAGCCCAGGTACGGTGCTCCCGCGGGCGCAAGTAAGGTCATCCCTCAGGTACAAATGAATCTCCTTTGCTTATGCCAAGGCCTCTTCTGTGACTTTGCTGTCACATCCCAAATTCCATTTGTATCTGGTTCTTTTAGGGATCTATTATCTTCAGCATTGCTTTCTATGACTTCCTTTCCTTCTGGTTTGATCAGATTCTAGTCTTCCTCTCTCTCACCATTGATACTTCAGCTGTTGCTACTTCATGTGGCCTCTTAGGGACACACAGGTGCCCTTTAAGCCTGTCTGTGTTTTTCCAATCTATTCCCTCCACGTTTTCGCTACTTCTAGGCTCTCAGTTTTGCCATCTCCTGCCACATCACATCCTAATCATGACTCTGAAGAGACTCTCTGGAACCATATTGAGAGAGCTCATACATTTTCTGTAATAAAGAACTGGGGACCAATAACCTTTTTATAATATTTATGGATTTTTTAAATCAGCTTCTTATCTTCCTCCAGGTAATTCTTTTTTTTCTTCCTTCTCAGATTTAAGTATTAAAGGCAAATGAAAGTAGTTTTAAATTAGGTTTTGTTTTTGAGTCTGATAACTTTCATTGACAACTATCTGTGTCACTGTTAAGACAGAAAATGCATTCCATCTATATAATGGACATTTTAGAGAAGCCAAAGAACTTAATCATGATTCATGGCTTTTTGGAGTGGAGGGAAGGGGGAAAGCCACTTCAATTTTCAAACAACTTAGGGACAAAAACCTTTTGAAATACAACTTATAATTAGAGATCTGCTTGTGGTTAACATAAACATGCCTCCATCAACCATGAAATATACCCCAAGCAACAAAAAATAAACAAGAAACCTTTTAGCAAATGACACCAAGCAGAACATAGATTATCCTTGTTAGTCTAAGCTCTGTGCAACAAGAACTGATATTCAGAAGGCTGACCCAGTATGAAAACCCTTTGACATCAAACAAGAGGTAAGTTATGTATTTACCAAGGAAAGAAAGTATCAGTTCAGTTCATTTGCCCAGTCGGGT